TACAGTAATTTAAGCCAAATGCAACAAAATAGCAGCATGAATGCAAAACACAACAGAAAAAGAATTTCGGCTGGGAAATCATGCAATTGTTATTTTCTGAAAGCAAAAAATTCTGGATACTTTGTCACATAGATATTCTGACCAGTTACATTTCATAACACTTTTCTGCAGCTCCCAATCTGGCAAGCTTTCCAACTGACTTGCTCAATGCTGCATTGCCTGGTGGTCAGTCTGCTGGCAGTCCTGACGTTTGTTTCAGCGGAAAATCCAGCATTTAATAAAATGAGTGAAGAACACTGAGACAGAAATAGAAAGAAGTAAAGCCGCCAATGCCGAAATTCGCTTTAACTTGGAACTCTCGAGCACTTTACTAATTTCATGATGACTCAGTGAGTGTTGCTGGACGCTAGCAACAAAATCGTCTTGTTACCGATGACAATCCAGAACAATCTTCAGATGGAGCTCCATCAGCACTGTGGCACTGCCGCGATCGCGCTTTCTGGCCAGGACCACAGTCAGCCGAACAACGAGTCCAATCTTCCCACTCGGACCATGCAGAGCACGGTGGTCCAAAGCAAAACAGTGTTTCCTAAACACATTTCAATGGCACTGTCAACTGGAACAACAATCTGGAAACAATTATTTGCACCGACTGAGTATCACACCACTCTGTTCAGAGCGCATTTTGCAACAGACCCACTTTGCAGCAGACACCAGTTTATAACAGAAACTACTTTGCAACGAACACTGCTTTGAGACAGAAACTACTTTACAACAGAAACCACTCTGCTCAGAGAACGCTTTGCAACAGACACTACTTTGCAACAGAAACCACTCTACCCATACGGAACTTTGCAACAGACCCTACTTCGCAACAGAAACCATTTGCAACGGACATCGTTCAGAATCGACACGAGTTTGCAACAGAAACCACTTTGCAACGGACACCGCTTTGAAACAGAAACCACTCTTTCTGTAACAGAAAGCACTTTGCAACAAACATCACTAAACTGATACCAGTCTGCAACAGACACTCTTTTTTAACAGACATCATTTCACAGCAGAAGCCATTTACGGATATCGGTTAGCTACAGATACTACTTTCCTGCAGAAACCATTTTGCAACAGACACCAGTTTGCAACAAGAACCAGCTTGATACAGACACCAGTTTACAGCAGACACCATTTTGCAACAGACACCGCTGCGCAGCAGAAACCACTTTGCAACGGACACCACTCTGCAACAGACTCCACTTCGCAACAGAAACCATTTGCAACT